ATCCACAAATGTTGTGCTTCTTGCTGTGTCAAGTTTCCGTGTTCCGATTCCAGAGGTCATTAGTGTAATGACATATTTGAACATTCCCTTCCCACTGTTGTAGTAGCATCTCCCCCCTCCCCCGGGCTCCTCATGTCCTAATGGTGTCCATACAATGACTGGCATATTACGGCCGGAGACAAATTTAATGGTGGACATTTCTTTCATTGGAAAGTTCTTTTGCGCGTTTCTCATTAGTGTAATGAATTACGCGGGGCACATTTCGGGGTATAATTCAAAAGCATCTCGTGATAATTTCAGAGTCCGGGGATTAATGGATTTGAATTTTGTTATGGTTCAGGATCCAAATCTCTGGTAACAGAATCCGAAGGTTCAACGCGACTTGTACAGAAGACTACCTGAGCATCCTCCCATCCCAAATTCTGTCTTACCTTACCAAGAGACGTACATAATTTTGTACGCATTTCTTGTCTGCTCTTTCGAGGTGGACATGAGGCAAAACATGATGTTCTTAATAATTCAAGGTAGCCAGTGTAAGTTAAATAAAAAAGTTCCACATCATGCGATGGCGCCTGTACTAAGCTGCTCAATTACATCATCCGTTCTGGGCCAAATATAGTACTTTCACAAATTAAGTGAACAGCCAGCCCACAATCGCGTAAAAACACTTAACAATTAATTAAATGTACGCGTATCGTAATAGTTCTGCCGCTTACGCTCTGTTAGTGCCTCTGGATTTTCAAATCATCTCCCTTATAAGAAATTTACCAAATTGTGGGAAACTGTTTGTTCCTCTTTACGTCTCCTATTTGCGTCAGTTACCTTTGTGTGGACGGGGCGATGACGTCATTGTGGGATTCCCCACATGATTAAATGCATGGTGTCGGGCTGGGGATTTCCTCCAGGTTACATCCGTGACTAAATAGACCGGTAGATTTTCATTAAAGTTTTTGTTATTCTCTGATTTTCGCCAAAATTGAAATATGTGATTTTCCGTTGTTGTGTGTAATTAAAATCTGTACAGCAGTTCTCAAACTGTTGCTTGTATCAGACGGGTAGACATGGTAAAGGTAAGATTGCTGACTTCTGGGTTGTTGCGCCGTGTAGTCTGGTGGATGTTTACCGACGTTTCAGAGGTCCTTGCTGCCTCCATCATCACGTCGATCGCCCTGATGATACGGGCAGTAAGGATCACTGAAATCTTTGTAAACTTCTACCAGACTACACGGCGCAATAACCCAGAAGACAGCAATCTTCAGACTCACCGCCGTGAAGACCTCGAATCCTACATGGTAACGGTAATTGGCCCCTTTTTCAATGCAATTCGATCACGCTTTCTAGAAGAAATTGACGTCATGTGGTTAACACTTGTTTTTCATACTCGGAGGTCCAGCATTGGAATCTCGGCCGAGAAACCAGTTGATCAGAGGTTTTTCATGTTGTTGTTTTTTTCTGTCCGTCTGTGCAGATGTAGAGACGTACATCAAGTAAGCTATGAGTGTTTCTTGCAACGCTGTTAAAAATTATTTCTCTAGTTTTGTCACTGAGGTTTGCTAAGCTTCAGTGAAAATGAGCGTGAATCGCTGAAACACGAGTTTCTTATTGTAATTCTTTCGGTTTTTGAAATTCCGTTGGCATCTGGCTTTCAAGACAAGGCGGGAGATGTTTCCTTTCATTGGCACTTGACATACGTCCTATGGGGCTATTCATAGCAGAAGAGTAATATTTCTGATCCACATATTTCGTTCGTAATACTACGAAGGTTGTCAGAAAATAAAACAAATGAATTCTTCAGTCAGTAAAGTGACCGACTGTGGACTGGGCAACTGCAGTTCGATTCTACGATTATTATTATTAAGTGTTCTGTCTTACGACAGGTCCATTGCTCTGCCCAAAAAGATCTCTCCAGTTGTCCCTATTCTCGGCTTCTCGCTTTAATTACTGGAACGTCATCTTCTTTCCTTGTTTAAGGTCGTCGGTTAGCTGTATCAATCTTCTTCCTAGTCCTCTCTTTCCTTCAACCTGGCCTTCGGTGATATCACTCATTAATCCATTCCTTCTCATAATATGTCCCAGCCAGTTAGCTTTCCTTCGTGTAATCGCCTGCAGAATGCTTCTTTGCTCGTTGACTCTCCTCAATACTTCTTCGTTGGTCACTCGATCCGTCCACCTGATCTTCTCTATTCCTCTCCAACACCACATTTCATCTTGAGCACAACGTCAAAACTGTGTCTGGCATCCTCTGAGCCTCCAACCCAGTGAACTGAATACCTGTGAGTCTTTGCGCGGTGATAGGGATATCGGAATGTGAAGCTAATTAAGCACAGGGACATGTAATCCAACTTCTTTATGTATGCCTGTGTAATTGTTTTTGTTAACAAGCGCAGTTTAGTTGGTTACAGTAGGTCTTCATTTTTATATCAGACTTTCCGACTTCAGTCCATGATATGTGCCCATTTCGAACGTATTTTAATGTCCCGTGCAGATGTGTATTGTGCCGAGTCATATGTAGCGACTCTGGAGCTCTGTCTGGGCTTCAGTTGTGAGATGGTGTTGCCCCCATAGCAGTTGCTTATACGTAGGCGAAGTAAGCCATCAGGCAGATCCAGAAGATGTCAAGGGTGAGGGGGGCGGTGGGCGGTGGGGAGTTCCTTAAAGTAGTAGCCCTCCATCCCACTCAGCTTCACTGCGTTTACAAGACTCCACGTTTCTTACTGAAAACTAATCTCGCTCGAATGGTTTATCGAACGCACAAGTGGGAAGATTAGGACATCATTTAGCGACAGTCCAAAACATCTTCATCTCTTGTTACATTAATGAGTTGCATTCTGTTGCTAACTTCTACCAAAAGAAAGAATTCATACTTGAAGAAAGACGGTAATAATCGATTTAAATTTAGTCTTCTCAAGTCATCATCGCCCTGATGATGGAGGCAGCAAGGACCTCTGAAACGCCGGTGAATTTCTACCAGACTACGTTTCGCAACAACCCAGAAGACAGCCATCTTCGGACTATAGCTGAACCACACTCGCAGAATTTCACCGTCTGACCTTGAGCTATTGTATGACAAGACCTCAGCAGTCTTCCTAGTTACACAGCAAAATATTTCAGTATTACCCTTACCTTCTGAATTTCCTCCATAGGTAGGTAATTCGAAAGAAGTTTCGAATCTCCCATAATGTTCTTCTTTGGACAGTTTATTTATGTTTCTCCTCAGTTGGCCTACTTTATTTCGAACTTTGCTTGGAGTGAGAGACTGCGTTTATCACAAAGCGTCACTCGCTTGAAGAGTGGCACCCTACTTCGTGAACATTCTATGGTTGCAGGTATCTCAAGCTGTAGTGAATAGATGCGCTTTGCTTTATGGGACTTCAGCATAAACAACTTTTTTTTCCTGATGCAAACAGAGAGCATTCAGTTCGTCTTATGATGGCGTCGGTACATCACGGGTGAAGAGTTTGTTTTGTATCCGCAGGCACTGGTTCCAAAAAAAGCTCCATGCTTTTTGTGGGAAATTGTGCAAAAGAAATAGGATATTTCAACTTTGCTTTAATTTAATTGTACGTATGTATCAGTTGAATATTCTGTATGAAAAACCAATAACATGCAGAAGTAAGGTTTATGAAAACGTTAAAGGAATAACGAGTCTGTACGTATACAGTTTAGAAACTTTCGAACAGAGACCATGATAAGTAAGACATCAGTTTTGCCACTCGGTTTATGTACTGTTATAAACACGGACTGAAACTTTCCTGAGGAAGAATATAAGTTATAAGTAAAGATTTCTGTCTTCTGGTACTTTGCATTGTGTTGTCTCGCAGAAATTGATTGAAGTTTCTAAGGTATTTCCTGCCTGCTTCTTGTTCCTGATGATGGAGATGGACATCTCAGAAACGTTGAATTACAGCGCCCTTCGCACTAGGTTTATCCCCCGAGAAGGCATATTCAGTCGCAGTGAAAATTTCAAATCTTACATATCACCTTCATCTTCATTCAGGGTTGACCGTTGTGATTATATTCCCGATACCATTTGCCAGATGTTCTCTGTAACGAAGATGTGGGGTGTTTTCTTGGATGCAGAACTTACTTTAATGCTCAATCATTAGGTAGTTTTTTTTTATTAGTGTTCTGTCTGTCGACAGGTCCATATGAACAGGATCCTTCGATCCTTTTCTCGGACTGGGACCTGTTCATATACGTTCTTGGCAGATGATCCAGAAGTGGTTTGCCATTGCCTTCTTCTGTGTGTGAATGGAGTAATTGTTGGGATGCAACGGAGGAAAACTCCGTGTTGCCTAGACCACGGCCTCGCCCAACACAAGTTATAAAGTCGGCCACCGCCGGGAATCGAACCCGAGA